CGATGTGAAGACTTCAATCAGCGAAGATCAATTTCGCTAGGGAATAGCAAGGTGAATGCATCCAAAAGCTCAATCGGGCAAAAGATTATATTTGTAAATAGTCTAAATAATATATAAACTTACTTATTTTCAATGCTGTTGAATTAGATTACAACCTTCAATAGCTCAACTCAGACTTAACTCAGATTCTTCCGAGTCCAAGAAACATTCAAATCGAAACTGGAAGTGCTTCTTTTAGACCGATATTAACCTTTAATCCAAGTACAATGCCAACTCTCTTAGACAGTGTACGATCCTCTGGCGATTGCCTGCCAGCGAAGATAAAACGCTTCCTTATTATTTCCTGAATCTTGGCTATGGCAGTCTCAATGGTAGCCGATGGTTGGACCCCAAGAATGATGCCCTTACCCGTTAGGGCTTTGAAAGAGATGTGCCAAAGGACGACTGGAAGAGCATAGAAGAGCCAACTGCAGAGCACAAATTTCAAAGATGTGTAGCTTAATGGTTTCATCTTTCACATCACATTGAGCTCGGACCAGGCTCAGGTCTTTCGGACTGCCAAATCATAGAGCCGCAATGCAGTTATTAGATAAGCTGGCAAACCTTGCCTGAGATGCCTGTTGCTTCCAGCTGGTGACAAGTGAGGCGCGGCGCAGTGAGGCAATGTGTGTTGTGTGAGACCAGCTGGGGAGGCAGCAGCGCCTCGACGGCTCTCAAATGGCTCTGATGCCACTGAGATATCAGCTTAACAGCCTTAAAAGCTTTGCTCCTTCTATATTTTACTTTTTCGTAGGGCAATCGCTAACTCAATTTGTCAGTGCTATGCGCGGAAGTGGCGCGCCCCATTCCCCATTCCCCATTCCCCATTCTAAGGCTGTGAAAATCCACATTATCTGACTTCTCTTCTTCTTCTTCAACGTTTTCTTTTTTGTATTTTACTTATTTCTGTGTTTTCGCTTCGTTTTTTTACTTATTCTTTGGTGTAATGCGTCGCAAATCGAAAGAAAATGAAAGCGACGTTGCGCAAACAGAAATCCTTTGTTAATTAGTAAAAAACGAAACAGGAGCAGCAGCAGCAGCGACGGCAGCATAATAAGTGGGCGTGCTCATGGGCGTGACATTAGCATGTACTTATTTTTGGCAATTGTAAAAATTGCCCCGGCGCCGGCTTAACTCAAGCCAAAGAACAAACAGAGAGCAAAATTTGGAGACGAAGCTGCAGACACAAGCAGCAGCAGGAGGAGGCGGAGGAGGAGGAGCAGCAGCAGGAGTAGTCTGCAGGCTCGGCAACGGAAGTGACAGACAAACAAATGTTGACTCGGCTTAGAATGTAATTAAAAATGGAAAATGTGCCGCCAACCGCCCGCCCAGCCGCCCGCCAAGCCACTTCCGCCTGGCACTCATTTAAAGCCATTTAGATAGACCCAGCGGATGCTCTGCCATATTGCATATTGGCAAGGTGCGATTTTGGCATATTTACATGCTGCTCGCTGCTCCCTGCCTGCACGTGACAGGGCTGAAAGGGATACACGACTGCAGGACTGAATGCGCGGCCCCAAAGCACCATGCGAATACAGGCCAAACACAGCCAAGGAATTAAAAATAAAATAAAAATAAAAAAAATTGAGGATTTACAGCCATGTAGAAGCAGGCAATGAGCACGTCTAGAGCAGTTGGAGCTGGGACGGCAGACTAGGCATACGCACACACACAGAAGCTAGTGTGTGAGTGGGTGTGAGTGGGTGTGTGTGTGTGTGCGTGCGGGTGGCAATGCAAACACAAAAGCGAATCATTAAAGCAAAACTTGCACAAAATTATGTTTATTGCTTGTTTAACTTTGATATGTGATATACCCTCGACTCGAGGCGTTCAGCAGCATGAAATTCGAGTATATATGGAATATATATGTGGAATATAGATAATCTAAAAATACATATAAAGCAAGTAAGAATGCATTGTACATTATACACATATATAAATACTATTTATTGCGATCTAGAGCTTGACTTGACTTTGGCACTTTTACCAAGAGCATGTCTGTTATGCCAGATATAGTACTTCTTCCAACAGTATATACAACAAATTTCAGACAGAAAGACGGGCATTACACAAAACCAATATACCCTTTCACTTGTCATCACAAGGTAGATCTTCCACTCAGAGAAAGAGAGAGAGAGAGCAGCTAGAATTGACTTTATCTGCATTTAATTATGAGTGCTTAATGATCATTAGCTTGTTATGTTAATTGCCATATATTGTAGGGTATACACTAGTCGAATTGCATATGCTTTCATATTTATTTGTTCGCTCTTGTTTCCATTTTTTTTAGAATTTCTTTCGTTTCTTTTAACTCTTGCGATTTTCGTGGCTTTCGTCTCATGTCTCGTGTTCCGAATTTTATGCGTTCTGTTTATCTTTCTGCTTGTTGATAGAGTCTGCTGCCGGAAGCAGCCGAAAGGGGGCGGTGGGCGGTAGACATTGCACCAAAGTCGGCTAATTAAATATTTTATACAAAATGAAAATGAAATTTTTGCAACTTGTCTGCGATTATTGCTAAAAATACCCTGTAAAATGTGAAAGCGGTTTTATATATATATATATATATATATATATATATATATGATCAATATATATATATAATGTAGTGTTCTCTGATATATAGTGTAAACAGGCGAAAGCAGAGCAAGAGTAGAAGACTTTGTTCCCTCTAGCATGCCTGGCTTAAGTACAGGGTATCTCAATGTTAGTCAAATTTCTGAAACTTGATTCACTTATATGTCCTGGTACAGGATAGCCAAATTTCATTTGGCTGCTGCTCTTGTTTCTCCACTGTTTGCGTGTTGTTTTTGTGTTTATTTTGCGCCAAGTCGGGAAATGTTGGCCGAGCCCGAGTACTCAGCCATATCAAAGGGTTTCCTTTTGATTTTCTCTACGCAACACAAACAAAACTTGGCATCATTTAGCCAAAAAGTTGTGTTTAGCCGCTCAGGTATAAAGCCATAAATGTTATTAAATAAACGCAGCGATAATTGAAACTGACACCAGACTACTAACAGCAGAAAGTTCATTTATGTTCTTCATTTAGGTGAGTTCGTTGCCCACCAATTAGAGCAAGGGGCGTGAGGTAAGGCAAGTGAGATTCAGCTAAGACTTCTTTAAGCTAGGATTGGAGTTGTCTAAGCAATCTGATTAGCAGAGCCTAATTTACTGAACTTCAACTGAGGTAATTTGATGCTGATAAAGCAGAGATTAAGCTGAGAACTATTTATTTTTAATTATAATTATTTAATTTTTAATTATATATCCAAGAAGTTGTCGAGGACCGATTATAATAGCTTCTCTTACACTGAGTAAGCCTTAATTAAAATCAACTCAATTGCTTATTTATCAAATGTGAAAGGCTACTGTGGAATATGTATTTATTTATTTATTTATATGCGAACTGCGATGCCTCGATAAGTGAGCTCAAGCGATCTATGCTGAGTACCTCACTCAGAGTGGCTCGAAGTATCAGCTGAGATACACTTGTTGAACAATTAACTAAGCTGTCAATGCTTAAAATGAAATAAATAATTTGAGCTAAGGAAACAAGGATTTTTCGTATCGATCGCTTTGACGTTGAGGCTGATCGTAAATCTCGCAATTCCCTACCGCAGCCCACTTGGAGGTGGCCCTCAATGCTGGAACAATATGAAATGGGCAGGGTCAGGAAGCTATTAAAAGGGCTTTGGCAATGCGAGCACAAAATGCGCTGTAAAATCGTCACAGCAAAGAAAAAAATGAGGGGAAAGAGAAAAAATTAACGCTAAAAGTGTCAAATGAAACGAAATGCCCAAGTGACAAATACGAATATAAACATCAGGCCAGAGCAGCGTACGGCCCACACACACCTGTCACGTGTAGGCCAAATGAAATTGAAATATTCAAGACGTCCCCGACGACAACATAAACTGCAAAGTTGTTTCTGTGTATCTAGCCCCAAGCAGCGTCACATTTCAATGGGGAGGCGCTGTGATGGGCGGCCAAGTGCGTGGGCGGGGCTTAGCGTGGCGTTTATATTTTGTATTGACATGGCATGACTTGACGCGGCTTTAAATTTAACTAGAAGTGCCTGACAGAGCAGAAGACAAGACGCAACGCAACGCATATTTAAAAATGCCTAAGTGGAACGTCTGTTGCCGTTTTTTATGCACACACACACTCACACACACACACGCACACCCAGGTTGGTGGCTTACTCGTGCGCCAACTGATTAAAGTTAATATGCACTCATATTGGATTATGAGTGCTGTCAAATGGGTCTAGCTGCGTGAAGGGGGAGGCTAGGAGGAGAGGAGGGGAGGAGGGGAGGCGCGGGCCGACAATGTAAGGCACTCAACTTGAAAGCCTAAAGAAATAGACCAACGCAAATGTGTCGCGAGTGTTAATGTTGTTGCTCTTGTTGCTTACATCATTGTTGTTGTTGTTGTTGTTGTTCCTGGCTGTGTGGTTGTCGCTGATGCGCGCTACTTTAGCGCGCTTCGACGCCTTAATAGGCCTGGCTATATGACAGTCAAGTCAATAGGAGCCAGCGCTGCCCTCCGGCTGCTCGTCCCATCCATCTAGCTGCCACTCAGCCGCTATACGTAAACAACTTAAAGGCGACATACATCAAACGGCACACATACACAAGCACAGGCACAGGCAGACACTTGCGTGTGTGTGTGTGCGTGTGCACACATGTTTCGTTATCCTTAGCAACTTTTTGCCAGAGCCGAAGTTTGAGCACCATCTAAGCGTGGAAGCAAATGACGTACTTTCAGCTAAGTTTTAAAACGCGTTAAGGTGCCCAGCGCAGTGTCAGCGACTAAGTGCGTAAAATTAACTGCTCTGGAAGGTGATGCTTACTCCAGGCTTAAGGGAGCGATAGACACACACACAGCACCGATGACAAGCTGAAGCATCTCTCGCAAATTGCGTGGCAAATTAGCTAAGCCGAAATGAATATAAGTCATATATCTAAATGAAGTCTTGGGCAACAATAATTCCAATATGAAATCATTACATTGCATCTGTGTGAAACACATTCGATCTGTACCAAGAGCATGCCAATGCGCAGAGCGGCTAAGTTTCTTGAGCGACCCTCGCAGCCGATGAGGACAAAGAATGAAGAACAATTGCCAGTCAATGACATCTTCAAGGATTCCGCACGTCAGGGAATTCCCTTGGCCATCGCGGCAAGCCGTCAAGCGCATCGACAATCTCCCTGTATTCATAGATATATATATATATACACATGCGTCTATATCTGTTATAAGTGATCATTGTCAAACTGGCCAGCGTGATTAGCAGCATATGCATCAGGTCCCTCCTTCATTCACAAGAATTTTGATGGTGAACACTTAAGGCTGAACGGCGGGCGGCATTTAATGAATATTTATGAAACGCAGCACGGGCGGCACTGGAAACCATGAGAAGCATTCAGTTTCGAGAGCGATAGACAGATTGCTTACTCACTCAAACGTATGATAATAACCATGACTCCAAACAGAATGAATGTGTTCCGCACATCGGCAATGCGACGCTTCGCCTCATCCTCATTATCCGGGAAGGGCAAACGAATCATTCCGATAATTTATCTTTACCGATTCGATAGAAAATGTGAATTTTTAGCAAAATATTTTCAAATATTGCAGCTCCAACTTGTTGTAGTGTACAATTTGTAATGAATATTCATGAACCTCTCGCTCTCTCTGTCAGCTGTCAAAGGAACAGTGCAAACGGCCAGCTATGATTAGCTGCATCCATCTGAAGGACACACGCCATAAGCCAGACTTCAATTTGAATGTCTTGCAGCACAAGTTGGCCACGAACAATAGCCAAAGGTATAGATTAGTAGAAGTAGCTAGAGTTACTAGGAAATTGACAGAGAGAAGATAGGAAGGATCTCAATCGATTGAGTTGTCGAAAACCACTTTGTTCCCTAAAGGCGTGAGCTGAAATTTTATAGCTGAGCTTATGTAGATAAGAACATAATCAAATGAGAAACTTGAGTGAATACTTCAACAGCTAAACGATATCAACAACTTAAAAACAATTCAAATATGGGGACTAGACATAGTAACAGACTTGTCTGGTCATCCTTGCTGAACTGACTCTGATTCCTTTCATTTAACATCTGGGGCTAAGTCATTCAGTCTGACGTCGCTCTAATCATGTGACAACAAATGGATTATTGGTTTCCATTCAGCTTAATCCATTGATATGAGGACATTTGGCTCAGCGCTTGGCTGAAGTTTCCATAAGCAGAGCAGAGAGAAGAAATGCGAAAGTCCTGTTGAAATATTTGCTTAGCCAACTGAAGGATCAATAAGTGCGACTTGGACTTGCTGTTTGGTAAGGTCTGCAGCCAGAGATAAAGTGATTATTGATGCGGTCGAGGCGGCTGCTGGAAAATGTTTTAATTGCAGCAACTTTTTGGCTCGACTTCAGTCAGCAGTCAGCCAAAAGGAAGTGTGAAGTGTGAAGTCTGAAGTGCAAGGCTGTGGGCAAATGTCTGCTCACTGTTTGGCTAGCACTTGACAAATGCACTTTGAAGGGAATGGCGCCACATGGCAGCAGTTGACAGTCGCCTGCCATTAGCCATTAGCCATTAGCCATTAGCCATCAGGCATCAGCCTTTTGCCATTAGCCATTACGCTGCATTTATTTGCATATTACGCATACGCGATGTATTGCGGGGATTAGAACCAAACAGCAGCGAACATTAGTCAGACTCTAAGACCAAGACGTTGCACAGCTAAGTCGTGTGCCTGGCGCTCCAATAACCTTGACCCAGGTGCATGATACACGCCATGCCTTTGGCCTTTGGCTGGCGAAATTTGTGTTGTGTTCGGCTCGTATCGCGTTGCTTAATACACGCTGCACGCTAAGGCTAAGCTTATTATAACCCTGGGGCTACATGGCTCCTGCATCGTGCCCTCGCAACACCCAACACTTAATGAGCGGCATAAATCAGCGAGTCAGTTCGCTACAAAATCCACCTGTGACCCAGACCCCAAGCCCAAGCCCAAGCCCAAGCCCGACCCCGACCCAGACCTAGAACCAGACCGCGACAAATGCACCAGGCACGCACCATACGTAAATGCTGCTCCACACCCTCGGCAAAGCTGCGAGCTGTTAACAAAATACTATTTGATCGCGTGACGCTGCTGCCAGATGTGGGGCGCCCAGGAGTCGAACGTCGAACGTCGGACGTCGTCGGACTACTGGATGTTGCCGTCAACAGCGCCGTGCAGCGCGGCGTATACGTGATGCCGCTTCAAAATGAAAAATGTTAACTATTTTGCATAGTTTAACGGCAGCAGCAGGCTAGCATTAGTTATTATTTTTGCCTCATACTCGCAGCACAAGCACCAGCTCTTGAGAATGTTCCAGCAATATGTTTATCGTGTAAATTAAGCTGGGCAACAGGAAAGGGGGAAATACATTTGAATTCCTAAGCACGATAAGTGCATCGGGCAGGAAAGCAGAGAATCTGGCTGGCAGTGTATTTGAATGCTATTTGAATGTCAGAATCGCAATTCGCCATAATAATGAGTTCGACTAGCTAAATGGTGGCCCGGACAGCGTGGCCTATGGTCTCGATAAATTTATGGCATTCATTTGGTGATCAATCGCTTGTCGAGGGCTGCCAGCAAATGGGAATTTGCGGTTGCAGCTGCCAGAGTTGAATTGCAAAAATACGCGCAAAATCTCAACATTTATGCAATATGCGGGCGGCCCACTGACAGGTTACTAAATTGCTGCGCCACCCAACCACCCAACCACCCACGAGCTACACAATCTGTGTGCCACAGTAATCATTTCTCTAGGCATTGTCTGGTCAAATATGCACGCGAATGTTGTTGCCACTGCTATGACATTTTAACCTGTGACACACACATCTGTGTGTGTGTGTATTATTGCAGCTGTAAAAACTGCGGCTAATTGCTTTTTGTCACAGCTCACAGATTTGCATAAAAGGCAAAATTGTGTGCGACTGTCTGTGTAATTTATATTTGTTTATATGCATATGAATACATTAAACGGACAGACAAAGAGACAGCGAGACAGCGAGACAGCGAGACAGCGAGACAGTGAGCCAGCGAGGAAGAGAGAGAGTTAGAGAAGGGGCGGGCGAGTGAAACACACACAAATTATATTCACAAACAGCCAGAATCGCACAGCAGCTCACATTTTGTGCCTTTTTAATAAACCTGACACTGACAAACAGAACCTTTAGTTTAGCATACATCGTGCAGCATGTTTACCATCTCTATATGCTGTCGACCTCTCTCTCTCTCTCTCTCTCTCTCTCTCTCTCTCTCTCTCTCTCTCTCTCTCTCTCTCTCTCTCTCTCTCTCTCTCTCTCTTCCTCTCTCTCATACTACACTCAATGTTTGTTTGGTTGCAACTTTTGCTGTTTGGTCGCCCGCAGGCGGCATAATAAATTTGTCAAGTTCACAGCGACTGCATCCACTTCAAATTCAAGTCATACTCTTTACGGTACTAACGGTTTTTACTATAGCTTTAATGGGTCATGGCAGAGTATCTTGGCGCAGGATATGTTTTGGCTCAACATGGTTCAATTTTATAGTTTATAGATGCTTGACGTGGATTACGAGAATCGACTAACTGAAGTTTCATTTCATCGAAAAAGTTATCAATTTGAAGCAAGCTCGAGCTGCGCGTTGTTTAGAAGGACTTAAGTTCTCTTGAGTCAAGACATATATTACTTACTCTACATGTTAATGGAGTTGAAGTTGCAAGTCTCCAGGCACCAATAGGCAAAGAGGTTTGCCTGCACAATACCATTCGCATACGAGCTTTTTGCAATTGTCAATCAGAAGTGAGTGGTGCACGGCGCATTCGTCTATTAATTTAGTTGGCTAACGTGCACACGTGCAGCTAATCAAACTAATCAAACGTCTATCGAAATTCCAAACTCTTGTATGGCGACCTCAAATCAAAGCCTCAGTCAGCTTTGTGTCATTACTAATTTAATATGTTTGTCGGAGCGTAAGGCCAGGTGGTAGCTCGACTGTCGGCCGCAGGCAGCGCGGGGCCGAGCTGTGCGGGATCAGGTCACTCGAAGACCCTAGCAACCTCAATGTGTGGCCATTTTGAGGGCAGTTGCCTTGTCACTGTTTGCAGTAGCATTTCTCTGTCAGCATTATGAATGTGTGATTGACTGTGCGTGTGTGTGGGTGTGTCCAAAGAGCTGCAGCTTAGTCTTGAGCAGTGCACTGTTCGCAATATGAAGTAAATATGCTGAAAAATGAAATGAACATCTGTGCACTTGCTACATGCTTCAGACTCAATAAATCTTGTACGTTTCATTTTTCTTCCTTTCAACAGTTGAATCATTTTTGATATTGCTTGCACTCTACATGAGCGTCAATAGCTTACAATCGAACTACGCCTCTGTGAGTCGTAGTTGAGGTGAGTTAGTCCAAAAGGTCCTTGATAAATTATTTAGTGTGCTTCTGCTTTACACAGCATCTGGAATTTCTTTAAAACAAGCCAACAACTAGACTTAACTAGGGTCTTCTACATTACACTAAGCGAAACTTAACTAGAGTCAAATAGACTGGACTAGGCTTAACTAGACTATTCTAAACTACAGTATACTTAACTTGACTAGACTAGCGTAGACTAGTCTCGACCCTTCTATACTGGACTCAACTAAAATATTCTAGAATAGTGTATACTAGGACTAGACTAGACTAGGCTAAACTAAACTAGACTAAACTACACTAGACTAGACTAGACTAGATTAAACTAGGCTAAACTAGACTAGACTAGACTAGACTAGACTAGACTCTACTAGCTAACAAGATAATCTAAGCTTACAAAATCCCTTTAGACACTCCCTTAGAGACTAGCCGAAGGAGAAGCATCAATGAGAAGAAGTGAAAATTAAAGTAAGAAAAAAAAAACACTTTTTAAATATATAAAAGAGCTTTTTGAGAGTAGAAAAAGTCCTTTGAGACACCCCAAATACATTTTAAAAATAAATATTGGACTTATCTATTGCATTACCTTAAATTTGAACAAAAAACTTTTACTTTATAACCAAAATATCTGAAGTCTTCACTATCTTCTTTACTTAATGCTGTTTTCCATAATACTTAACTTTCATATAGTATTGAGCTCTACTAACAATTTCAGTTTACAACTCTGAGAGGCTAGATGTACGAATTAAATCTTAGGGAAAAGATTAAATTCGAACTGAAAGCAAAATATTTTGTGGATTCTGGACTCATTTGGCTGCTAAGTTAAATATCTAAAAAAAATCTCAGGTGCTTTCTTCAGCCACTTTTCTATATTGAAACTGAATGGCACTCAGTTCACTTATTTAAATATATGCAACGAGGTTAATCTTTTAGTAAAATCGTTAGTCTATTAGTTCACGAAATGCTCAATTTCAGTTCCGTTAAGCGCACAGTTCATTTGGATTTGCGCAATTGAACAATAAAGTGCATAAATATATATAATTGCAAAGCAAATATATGCGAACGAATGCAGAACAATAATGCAATTGCCTTGGCAGCTTTGTGTGCTTGCAGGGATGGCTTGACTCAGAAATACCCGGCAGCATAGCTAAATGCAATTACGATTCTCAAATAAGTTGGTAAATAAATAATCGAATGCTTTCCTCGGCAGTATTTCTATAAGATAGTTCGCTGATTA